TCTGTGCATCCTTCGTATCTGCATCCTGGGTGAGCCACTATGCCTGCCTCAACCAACAGAGCACAACATGAGTACTGCTATGGACTTACGAGGCTAGCGCATAGAAACGCCACCCTTCCGCCTCGTTCTCCTGGGATGCTTCTTTGGCCCCAGCTACCATGCTGTGTGGAAGTCCAAGAAGCCCTGGAGAGGCCAGTGTGGAGGGGAATGGAGGCCCCCTGACCACAGCCCAGCTGGGCGTCCAGTCAGCCCAGCAGCAGCTGGCCAGAGGAACTGCACCCAGACACGCTGCATGGACCAGAGACCAGCTGTCCTCTGCTGAGCCCTGCTTGAGCAAAAAGAGTGACTTGTTTCTAACCACTACGTTTTGGAGTGGCAGTTACACAGCAATGGATAACTGATACATCTCATTTCCCCTCCCTCTAGCCAGCACTAGCTATTATTATTGTTATCTCCATTATATCCTTGCCAGTGGGACAGGCAAAAAGTAGCATGTCTCCTTTGGTCTTAATAATTTGGCCTGTTATTCTCAATAGGGTTTTAGTGCTTTTCTTATTTACAATAGAACTTTAAGAGCCTTTAACCCAATTTATTTTCTTTGCCATTTTTTTCCTTTCAAAAGAAATATTTTCAAAAATTCAAAATGTATTTATGTCAGAGCCAGGACCAGGGTGAGGCTACTGTACTCATTCTCAGGTGGGCCCCTGCCCTTGTGGGACTCCGAGGATAAGTCCCCACTTAACTCTTGCCCCGGGCACCTGCCTTGCCTCACTCTACTCCCAGCCCTGATTTAAGTCCACCCTAATCTCACCTCCTAGGTGTAGCCACTGTTCATAGTTTGGTGTATATTTGTCCCGATTTTTTCTACACAAACATTAACATATATGTAACAATAGTGATTTTTATGGTTATAGAAATGTATCTTTCTTGGACATTTTCTCAGGCCAATACATGCAGACCTCGCTCATTCTTAAGACTGCATATTACGTAAGAGTCATATCTCTTTGTCACATTTATGGCATATATTTTCCCAGTTTTTTAATATTAGTTGGATTTTTCTTGCTATTTTTAACTTATTTTAAAATGTGATGTCAGGTAGATCAAATTCTCACCTTAGTTATATTGTCCGTTGTTTCCATGCTTTCAAAACCAGTATTCAACTCTATTTTCCTCTGTCTTATTTTTTTACACGAGTTTGTTAACCTACTGAGACGTATTTTGGTGTATGGTGTGAAGGTGGGTTCTTAGCTGAATTTTCCCCCAAATAATCTATATTCTCAACGTCATTTGCTAAGCAGTTCCTCCCTCTCCAAGGCGGAACTCTGTGACCATTGGAACTGTTGAGGTGGTCAAGAACTTGACAGGGACATTGCAGAGCAGACCCAAGCCAGGAAAGACTTTTAATCCTTCCACACTATGAGCTCTTCTGTAGTGGGCAGGGGCTTCCAGTCAGACACTGGCTGGAGGCAAGTCATGCCATCGTGGTGGCAGAGGAAGGTGGTTTAACAAGTAGCACTTGAGGCCCACTTTCCTCTGGAAGAACCTGGCAGCCCCACAGAAAGGCCTTTTGCTCTCAGTACAGATGAGCAAATCTTGCCAAAGAAGCAACTGGAACTCACCAGCCCTATCAAGTGAGCCCCATATAGGTGGGTCTCCCCTAGAATCTAGACAGATGTTCCTTGAGTCTTCCTCAACCCCCCATGGACTGCCCCACAGCTTTACCCCTCACGTTGCAGAGGTCCCCACCTTTGCCTTGTGACTTCTAGACCTGAGGAGACAAGCTAGGTACAAGGGGGTCATATGAAAAAACTAAATTGTCATTCTTAGAGTTTGGTTTAGTTCTTAATGCTGGGGGTGGGTATCCTACCGACCTGCCCAAGCAGCAGCCTTTCCCCTCAGAGGAGACTGGCAGTGAAGTGGGAGGTGAGGGGGGAGAGGAGGGATGCTTGGGCGTCCATTCTCCTCAAAGCTAGACTTGACTCCCCTTTTCAGATCTCAGACTTGAGGGCTCCTTCCGTGCCCTTCTCAGTCTCTCCTCCAGGCCAAGGCTGTCTGGGTCCCTCAGGGCATGCTCATACACCCCCACGCCTGGAGGATGGGCTACACGTGGGCTCCTGCCACCCCCACCCATGCCAAGGCTGCCGTGGAGGAGTCTGGCCAAAGGTGGAGCCACCCCTCTAGGACCTCCGGAAATGCCAAATGAAGCAGCCCCTCAGGATATGGCCCCCTACACCTGCCCAGCCCCCTCTCCAGCCTCAGTCCCTGACTCCCCTCTCACTTCCTGACTTCACACCCTTCAGGTCTCTGAGGAGCCTCCCCTGACACCTCAGGATATGGCCCCCTACACCTGCCCAGCCCCCTCTCCAGCCTCAGTCCCTGACTCCCCTCCCACTTCCTGACTTCACACCCTTCAGGTCTCTGAGGAGCCTCCCCTGACACCCTCCCTGCTAGTCTCTAATCTTCAGAGCACTTATTGCAATCTGTAGTTTTTTTTTCTCATTTGTTATGTCTTTTCCTCTAGAATGTTAGCTCCATAACAGCAGGGACCATGTCTCTCCTGTTTTATCCCCAGCTTCTAGCACAGTACAGCATTGAGAAAAATCCATAAAAATGTTTTTTAAAAGCTTTTTGCTCAGAATTTCTTTTTTTTTTTTTCCTCCTTTTTCTGTGTCCGGCAATGGATCACAACCCTCAGTGTTGCCCCCGTACCGGACCGGGACCGGCAACGGGATCGCAACCCTCGGTGTTGCTCCCGTGCCTCGCTCAGCCAGTGAGCGGGAACCGGTCTGTATGTGGGATCCAAGCCCTCGGCGGGAGCGCCGCCGCGCTTCCCAAGCAGCGCACTATAGCAGTGCGCCACCGGGCCGGCCCCAGAATTTCTTGTATTCACTATTCTTCTTTGTCAGCCTTGGCATGTGCTTTCTCCTCTGCCTGTAATACCGTTTCCTCCTTATTTTCCTTGCAAACACCTATCCATCCTTCAAAGTCCAGCTCGGTTGTCTCCTCGAGGGACCCTCAACAGGTAACACGCCAGAGGCAAGTTTCTCCGTGCAGCCCCAGAACAAGAAGCTTTTGCTTTGCTCCCTTTTGAGGGCTCTGTCTCCTGCTATGGGAGCCTCCCAAGGTGCAGAGAAACAAGATGCAGCAAGCCCCAGCTCCCAGCCTGGCAGACTGGATGGGGGAGGGGACCAGCTGGTGGGCGAAGCTGGCTTATCGATGCCGTGGACAAGAGCCCTGGGGAAATCAAGGTGAAAGGCAGTAGTCCTGCTGAGAGGGGGCCCACCCTCCATTTATCAATCAGAGGGGCTGGGACAGGGCAAAAAGAAGCTCCACTGTCAGAGGCAGCTGTGAGGTGGGAAACCCACACCCACTAAGGGGGTCCCCAGTGAGGCATGTTCCTATCTTGGGCACAGTGGGTAGACACTGTGGAGCTGGGCAACGCATAACAGCATTTCTAGCATAGCTCTAATTTTAAATACCTGAGTTTGGTTTTAGAAAATATGGTCACTGGAGCCATAGGGCCTGCTGATAGAAATTCTCCGCACTTGACATTGTGCAAGGAATGGGGTGGTAGGGAGTAGGAGTCCTTGGTGGCCTTGGCCCAGGGGGCACATTTGGGCACTGGCCCTAGGAGCCTCTTTCACCCTCTTGCAGGCCAGGTTGCCTGCCTGATTGTGTGCTGGCCTGTCAACCTCTCGGTCTCCCAGCCAGGGCCTGGGAGCAGGGCAGGTGAGCAAAGCCAGCCGAAGAGGATGGAGAAAGAAGGCAGTGACTGGAGCAGGTGGGGACAGAAAGGGAACCTATGTACAAGAGGCCCCCAGGCAGGAATCCACCCCAGGAATCGTGCAGCTAAAGAAGTCAATGAAACAAGCAGGGAACGGGAGGGTGACCCCTGCCTGCCCTCCTACCCTCCTCTACCCCAGCTGCCCCATAGAGGGAGTGTCCTTGGCACCCCACCTGCTCCATCNTGCCTGATTGTGTGCTGGCCTGTCAACCTCTCGGTCTCCCAGCCAGGGCCTGGGAGCAGGGGAGGTGAGCAGAGCCAGCCAAAGAGGATGGAGAAAGAAGGCAGTGACTAGAGCAGGTGGGGACAGAAAGGGAACCTATGTACAAGAGGCCCCCAGGCAGGAATCCACCCCAGGAATCGTGCAGCTAAAGAGGTCAATGAAACAAGCAGGGAACGGGAGGGTGACCCCTGCCTGCCCTCCCACCCTCCTCTACCCCAGCTGCCCCATAGAGGGAGTGTCCTTGGCACCCCACCTGCTCCATCCAGTGCTGGGGCCATCTGAGCAGAGTGAAGATGTCAAGAGAAAACCCCAAATCGGATTGAGGCTCCTGCTCCCCCTTAATGAGGTTCATTATCAGCTGCTCTGATCCTTGTAAAACCCAGAAGGCCGGATTAGGGGCAGGCTCTCTAATCCCGGCTGACTTCTCCCCGCTGAGCAGCCAGCCCAGGCCCGGCTCTGACAAACAATCTCTTCCTTCTGGAGAAAGAGCTGGAGATGGGGACGCCTGGCTGAGGAGGGTGGGGAGCAGGAGGAGGCAGCACTGGACATCCGCTACGGCTGTCCCCATTCCATGGGGAGACTGCAGGGCCGTGGCGCATGGAGAGCTCTGGGTGGTGGGGGAGGGCACCCNCCATGGGGAGACTGCAGGGCCGTGGCGCATGGAGAGCTCTGGGTGGTGGGGGAGGGCACCCTCTCCCCTGCGCCAGGAGCTGCGTGTGCTGGGGGAACCCATGTGTGGCTGGACTGTACACACTGTCCAGTCCTGGACACTATGTCTCCCTGTAGCAAGTTAAAGAACACATCGATACTTGCCTTAACAAAAATAATTTATTCCACAACGCTCCCAAGCATGGGGTAGAGTGGGAATCAAGCAAGTGAACAGCGTGGCCCTCTCCTCAGACCCCTTCATCCTCTACTCAAGAGAAGACACTCTCCTTGCGATCCCTCACCCAGCCCCTCCATGTCCAAAGATTAGCATCTATTTTGGAGACCAAAAGACAAAAGACCCAGCTCAGAGAAGGGTAGAGCCCAATGGGGAGAAGCCAAAGCACACCCAAAGCCACCATATCTTTCTTGTGGCTTCACTCTACCTCTTACAGCTAAGCCCAGAGCCAAGGTACTACAGATCTCAGCATCCTTCCGTACACCCACCCCACCACCTCATCCAGTCCCGCCTAGCAAGCCTCTCACCCCACAGCCCAGCGACCATCACCCACCCAGCTGGGCAAGTCCACACCAACCCCAACCTACGCTCTTCCTGCAGTAGGTACCTTGACCAAACCTCACCTGGAAGACCAGCATGACTTCTGGAAGCTTCCACACCCCACCCTGAAGCCAGGCCCAAGGGGCTGGAGAATGGGCAGATCACTGAGGGCCAGAGATGGTTCTTCCTTCTCTGGTGCAAAGGCCTCTTTGTGTCCAGAAGGGGGTGGGATTGATGCAGCCCCAGAAAGTCATGAGGAGCTCCACTCCAGCCCACCCAGACCGAGGGACCCTCCTCTGGGTGGGAAACCTTGGAAACTGGCCTCACTTGCCCCAATTTAGGGCCAAGACAAAACAGGAGGGATTGAGGCTTTAGCAAGAATGGGGAAGGACTTCAAATAAGCTGAAAAACAGGAATTTGGTGCTGAGAGGCCAGGGACTGAGCCTCCCTAAGCCCACTGCCCAAGGCTGCTCTCTCCTGTGCTGTACGATGAACCTGGACTCTGTTCTTGTCTTTCCTGTCTATGAAACTCTCCTTCCCACTAGACCCAAGGGGGTTCACTGAAGCAACTGGTTTTCCTGGATTTCCACCCCCTAGACTGGACAAGGAGAAGGGGTGTGAGGGGAGGGAAGGGGGCAAGAGGCTGGACGAACCCCACAGATGGCAGCTCCCTCTCTCTACCCCCCCCAAGTTGGACGGCTCAGGCTGCAAGGTGGCTAGCATGGCCCTTCAGGACCCTCATCCTGGCCCGGAAGAAGGTGTACACAGCCAGCAGGCCCATGAAGGACAGGGAGTAGAGCCCCACGCAGAGGCTGATGTCCAGGTGGGAGAAGCCCCCGCCCAGCACCTGCAGCCACTGGCCTCGGCCCCGCGCGGCTCGGGCCTCCGGCTCCCCAGCTGGGATGCTGGCCAGCTGCTTGGAGCTGCGGCCCACGCGCCTCAGCTCGGAAGGGAGGAGATGGAGCTCCTCGGCCCGGGACTCGGCCAGCAATGCGGCCCCCGTGTCTCGCCTGCTCAGGCGTGGCTGCGCCACCTCGTCCCTCTGAAGCTCTGCTACATGCCCGGGGGGCCCCTGGTCTGGTGCAGCTTGGCTCGCTGCGAGGCCCGTGTGCAGCTCCAGGGGACGACTTGCCTCGGGTCCCTCAGCTGGACCATCTGGGACGGTGGTTCCAGGGGACTCTGCCATCTTGGCCTTCTCAGGGCCCAGAATTGAATTCCTGGTCACCAGCTCCAACGCTCCTATCACCTCCCTCCGGGAGGCCGGCCCAGCTGCAGGGAAGTCCAGGACGATGTTGCTTGGGGAGAAGTGGGCCTTGAGGAAGCTGAGGGTGGCGCCCACGTCCCACACGGGCACGCCCCGGAGCTCATTGTGGCAGGCAGTACAGAGCTCGCGGGGCGGCCACTGCACCTTGGGGAAGTGCGGGTCCTCACCGGGGGCACCTGGGGAGGGAAGCACACACAGGCCAGCTGACACACTCCGGGCCCACCCAGAAGCCCAGGCCTCACTCCTCCCTCAGCACAGCAGCTTCCTCATCTGCAAAAAGGCTCCCCACCGCCCTTCCCGAGCACGGGAAGTGAGAGAACGCAGATAAAAAACTAGCACAGGGCCTGGCCCAAGCGGGAGCTCAACAGATGGCATCTCTCCGGATGAGGAGGACCAGGATTCCTATCTGGCTCAGCCCCAGCACAACACGGTTCCCCAGAGAAGTGTGAACAGGCCCATTCTAGTCACTTCCCAGTGCTGACCAGGCCCACTGTCCCCTTTGTTAACTTCACCGTCAGTTTCTACCCCGAGACCAGACATGGGAAAAGGTGAGAAGACTCAGGAAGATTTGTTTTGCAGTCTTTGATTGGTCTGTTGGTGTTTGTCTTTTTTGCATTTTTCTGAAATTTTCCAAATTTTATACAGTGAACATATATTACTTTCGTTAATTAAAGGGAAAATGTTTTAAAAACAAGAGCTTGCTGTGCATGATAATTCCACAGGTGCTCTCCTTTACCCAACTGCAGCCTGTGGGTTAGGCAGGAGGTAGGATTGGCCTCCAGGGCATAGGTGGGGGAGCCCTAGAGCACTTGGGAGGGTCAGCATGCTGCCCTGGCTGTGGGCTGTTGGGATACTCAGTGGGACCAGAGCTCCACAGAGCCCCAGGCTGAGGCCCAGAGGGCCAGCTACCAGTCCTTCTCCCAGTGTCACCCAGGGAACACCAGCCCATCTCTCCTGCAGGAAGCACCTCTCCCAAAGGTTTTAATAGGGGAAAAAATCTGTTGACCACCATGGAGCTACAGCGGAAGTGATAAAGTGAGAGTGGTTATTTTGGGGAGGGGGCGACAAGCCGAGGATCCAGTGAGTAGCAAATGGTCAGGCCTTGCAAAGCGAGCTTTGGTCTGAAAGAACCCACCGGAGAGGGTAGGGCACTGCCTTGCCTTTGATCCCCTGGGGAGAGGACCAGGCTCCTGGCTCTCCAGTGGCAGCTGGGAGCCTGCTGAGGTCACAAGGCTGGAGGGTCAAGTGGAGCATTTGGTGGCGGGGGTGGGGTGGAGGTGGGGGGAGAGGGGGGAGAAGACAGGCACGTGTCTTCTTTTCACAGTCCACCAGGAGGCCCCAGGAGACCATGAGCAAGTGCAGGCGCCTGCACCACCTGCTCCTTTAACCTCAGCTCCACCCCCAGGCCACCTACCCCCTGGAGGGCTGTCACAGCATGTAGCATGTACACACCCCCCTCCCCACAAACAAGCCGCCTCCTGTCCACAGATGGCTCCCTCCCCACCCCACTGTCTCTGGAGTTTGAGGCTTTTGCTTGTTGGACCCATCAGCCTCCTGTGCATGGGGAAAAGAAAAAACTGTGAATGAGGGAAACTCAGAAGACAAGGCCTCCCCTTGTGGGAATCAGTCCCTGGTATTTCTAGAAAGGACCTGGACTCTCTTTGCCAGTCCATTAAACCCCTCCCAGGGAATGGAAAACCCCAGTTCTGTCCTCCTCATTAGTTTAAGTAAGGGGTCAACAGCCAGAAAGCAGAGCAGGGGAGGCAGGAGAAGGACCCCAACAGGCCAGAGAGAGGGGCCCTGGAGCAGGGACAAGAGTGAGTGCTGGCATCAGAAGACCAGGGTTTAATGTGTCAAAGCCTTGGTGTCCTCATCTAGAAAATGGGTCTGATGATACTGGTATCGATGAACAGGGCTGGCAGGTCAGCTGAAAGTGCTGAGAAGCACAGGTTGTTACTGAGACCATGAGTGTCCCTTCCCCACCTCTGGCCCAAGACCCCAAAGTCACCCCTCCCCCATAGGTGACTCCAGCCTTGGAGGTGGCCCCTTCTTACCTGCGAGGCGAGCGTTGACTCTGTTGTGGCCAGACCAGAGCCAGAGCACAGCGTCATTCGGACTCCCCACCCGGTGCATGGAGGCAGCAGCCATCTGCTCAAAGTGGTCAGCGCAGTCTCGGCAGCCGAAGAAGAAGTGGACATAGCTCCGGATGGCTTGGAGGACCTCCTGGCCTTTGGCTACAGAGAAGAGGAGATGCCATGTACAGTGGTCCCACCACATTCCCTCAGGGCTCCCCGTCCTCCCCTGCATAGGTGCCCCACGCCCCAGGCTGTGTGATGAGGGGCCCAGTGTCTCTGGGCCTACTTCTCCACCTTCTTCCCAAATCCTAAGCTCCATTTCCCTTCTCTGATGCTCATTCAGGCCCTTGTCACTTTCCTAAACTCAGGAGAAAGTCCAAACTCTTCAGCAGCACACACAGGCTCTTGTGACATGGCACACCCCAGCCCTACCTGCTCCAGGCTTCCTGCTCCCATGGGTCCCCCCATCGCACCTCGCCTCCCTCAGCACTCTCAGGAGTCCAGCCTGATCTGGCCTGTGCACCCCGCACTAGTCTCCATCTCCCCTCGCTCCCTGCTTCCATGCCCTCCCACCAGGCCCCCTGGGCTGGCTTCAGCAAAGGCTTCTGTTAGCTCCACCACTTTTGCTCTAACTGAAACTGGGCTCCTCCTGAAGATACCTCCCTCTTCAACCCCTCTTCCATGCTCCATATGCCTCCAGGCTGCTGCTGGTTGCTTCTGAACTCTCTCTTTCCTGCAGCAAAACACCCAGCCCTGGAGAAGCCCATCTCTTGTCTCACCCCTCCATCCACAAGGACCCAGCATCCATGACCCAGCATCCACCCTCTGTCGTGCTCATCACCCTCCCCAGGCCGTCATCCTGGCAACATAAGCGCCCACACCACCCACCTTACTTCACTGCAAAGCCCCCCCAGCTCCGCCCTCTCCTGCACCCACCTCAGGCACGCACCCACCTGCCCGCTGCCCACAGGGGCACTGGCAGCCAACCCTCCCCTTCCACTCGGGCCTCACCCCTGTTTACCTCCTCCAGGATTTTACTCCTGTACATACTTCCATGCTTTCTGGCATCACCAATTTCTCCCTCACTATGGCATCACTCTGACTGGTAAAGACAATGACCATAGAGAAACCCCTCTGTGACCCAGCCATGCCCCCGTTCCGGCCCATCACCTCCACATCTTGTCTCCTGTTCTCTCTCCAGCCTAACACAACCAGGCATTACCTGCACTGAAAAAGCCCTCACCAGACACAGCCTCATCTTACACCCCTCGGGCAGCATTCACCTGGCTGGGCACACCCTCCTTCTTGACACTTTATTTTGGGGGCCCTCCTGAAACTGCATCAGCCACTCCTTGTCAGTCTCCATGGCTGGCTCCTGCTCCTAGCCACGGTCTGGATGCTGCGGTGCCCACAGCTCAGTCCTCAGCGCTCTTCTCTACCTTCCACTAGTAAGCTCATCCATATGCTAAGGACCAGCAGGTCCATCTTCTGTCCTGCACCTCTCCCTGGAACTCTCAGACTCCAACTGTATACATCTCCTTTTGTGTGTCCAGTAGGCACAAAACAGACCATCGCTTCCCACCCCGAGCTTCCCATTCTCAGCTCACAGGACCACCCTCAGCCAGATGCTCAGGCCATGCAACGCTGCAGTCCACCCTGTCCTCCTTCCCGCAGATCATTCCTGCAAGCCATTGTTAAGTCCTTGCAGCTCTGCCTTCAAAATATCCCCGAATCTGACCACTCCTTCCATCCACACATCTACAACTCCATCACCTACACTCCTGGACTATTTCTACAACTTCCTGACGGGCAGCCCTGCCTCCCTCCATCTGGCCACACGATACCCACCCCCAGCAGCCAGCAATTTTTCCAAAGCATTAATCATCTGCGTCACTCCCCCGTTAAACTCTCCAGTGGTTTCTCATAGCGCTGAAACAGAAATCTGAACCCCTCCTTCACCAAGGCCTCCAAGCAGCACACTCACCCCCTCTCCCTGCCTCCCTGTCCAGCCCCTGGCTGCACTGGCTTTCTCCGCATGCTGCAAACACACCAGACTGTTCTCTGCACCTGCTTGTCCTTGGTCTGTGTTATGAACTAAATTACCTCCCCCAAAATTCATACGTTGATGTCCTAACCTCTAGTACCTCAGAATGTGACTATATTTGGAGACAGGGTCTATTTTTTTCCCTGGCCCCCTCCCCCTCCCCAAGACAGGGTCTTTAAAGAGGTAATTAAGATAAAATGTGATCATTAGGGTGGGCCCTAACCCAATATGACTGTTGTCCTTATAAGAGGAAATTTGGACACAAACATGGAAAGTGATGACCACATGAAGACACAGGGAGAAGACGGCCATCTACTAGCCATGGAGAGAGGACTCAGAAGAAACAACCCTGTTGACACCTTGGTCTTGGACTTGAGCCTCCAGAACTGTGAGATAATAGGTGTCTGGTGTCTAGCCTCCAACCGGTGGCTTTTGTCCATGGCCGCCGAGCACACTAACACAGCCTGGGCACACTAACATAGCTTGGAAGGCTCTGCCAGAGGCTCACAACTGCTCACTGCTCTCCATGCCACGTCGGCACAGGGCACCTCCTCACAGAAGT